AAAAAAATGCAAAGAACCTAAATTTAAACGCAATTTTAAAAAAATAATACGTGTTTAGAGTGTTCCAAGTGTAACAGTACAATTAATTTTTTTTTTGTCGCCTAGAAATGATGCCTTATTTATACAAAACATGCGTACCGAGTGACTTTTCGCGTTGTTGTTTTAATTATTATTGTAATATATAGTCGTTTGCTCTGCGAGAAAGGCGAGTGGTGGTTCGCGGATGTTATCAAAGACGGTGAGAGAATAATTGACGACGGAAGGAGAGGGTGAAGAGATTTGTTAGTTAGCGAGTTAAGCTCGTCGCCTCTGCCTATATGTGTGCTCTAGTGTATGTGCGTTGGATAGACAATATAATGAGGTTCGCCCCAGTTAAATTAGAACTGGGCGGCGTTGGCGACGAGGGCTTTTTAATGAGTACGAACCAATTAGACGCAATAATAGAACAAGGCGCGAGCAACAAAGACTCCGCATATATATACTACACTTCTCAACGGACGCCGCGACACGTAATCTACGTTATATTAATGACAAAAATATGTTCAAGCCTTAATATCTCTTGTACTGGCTGTTCTACGGTAGTTACCCGACCCTACAACTACATCGCTCCCCTGACTATACGAGCACTATGTAATGCAAATTATGTTACGCTCAAGACAAAAAACTTTAAGTCAGAATTTTTTTTGTGATTTTAATTATGTAATTATTTACAATCATTAATCATTGAAAACGATTTATAACTTATAATAACTAAAATTATATTTTTAGCTTACTCTTATGTTCGACTTTTATCGTATAAAAAATGGTTAAATGAGTGATCCGATAAAAAATTGGGCAATACAAATACTTGGTAAACTTGTTATTAAATAAACATTACACAGCTGAAAACGGCCCAATTTGCTACACCAATGTGATTTTGAAAATAAAAGGTAATGTTTTGAAAAAAAAGTTTATACAGAAATTCAACAAAAATTTTTATTACTTAAATTTAGCTTACGTGTAATAATTTAATTATTAAAAGTGACTATAACTTAATTAATTTTTGGAAAAAGTGCAGAACTTGCGTACAAATTAAATAAATATCAAATGTTTTGCCTGGTTCCATCGCTTCCTTTTGTAAAAAATAAAGTTATTTATTTTTTCAACAACATGCATTATGTTTTCAATTACATTGAATGTTTAATGTTATGTCATTTATGATTACAGAGGCGTTAATTCAACAGCATATTTTGCATTAAATTTTTATTAACGTTATCATTGAAAATAATGTCACTGAAAAACTTACACGATGCGATACATTAACAGTTCATGGAATTGTGATTATAATTTAAAAAATATTATACATAAATAGTATATATATAGTCTATAAACGTCTTATTTATACCTACCACAGTGCAGTCAATGTATGCACGAAACTAATAAAAATGTCTATTCACGATCACAAGCCTGAATTAAGGGGGCCAATAAATAACCGGGCCCATGAGTAATAAAAAAAAATAACCTAGTATTGTGTTCCGTCTAATTGGTAAAATAACTTAAAAAATTCAAAGTTATATTGTTATTTAATAATGTAATTTTTTTAATCACCTGCAGTTTTTATTTGTGTTGTAATAAAATCATATAAAACAAGTTTTTTTGAAAAAACTTTTGTTGGGACCCGTTAAAAAATCTGTCCCCGGGGTCTCAAATTGGTGTAATCCGTTGTAGGAAATTACATCTGTCGTTTTTTATAGACGTAAAACCAATACTTAAAAACAACTCGTGTGGTATAATATCTTTTATTCTTAGGCGACCGACTTAAGTTTATTAGTAGTGTCTCAAGGTGTTTTTTTTCAACTGCTAACGAATTTTGTCAAGCTGTTACACTCTGCCAGTTATCATTAGCACGACATTGTCTAAACGAACTGAACTACAGGTACTTACCCGTAACAAGTAAGCTCTTAATAAATTGTGCTCGTGTTTTTATTGTATTATTGAGGTAACTCGATTACCGTCGGTCGTTGGGTGACCAAAACTGGCCTCGGGCCCTGCGTTTGTTTAGAGCGGTAAAACGCCAATGGACACTGCGTGAACGCGCAACTTTACTGTATTGAGTTATTGTTACTTATATGTATTATATTTCCGCTCGTTAGGCGGTTGCCAACACCGCTCGAAGGCGTTTGAAGGCATCCGACGAGCGGCGGTGGATGCTTTAGAGTGGCTCTAATTAGGGCCCCTCGTGTGCCTGTGTGGTGTCGCACAGCCACTCGAAACATTATAAAATAATGACGACACACGCTTTACTATGTATATCGACGAGGACATCTGCTGTTAATTATATTTATACGGTCGGAGAAATTCTGAAGGTTCATTATCTTTTTTATTTTTAATTGGCTCTTTAAATTTCCCAATTTTCTCCGGTACTTAATAATTAGACGTACGTACGCAAAGATTTCCGATAATACGGAGAACGCTAAAATGAATTTAAATTTTTTTTTTTTTATTGAATAAAAAAAATCTATTCATAGAATATATTTTTATTAAATAAATACGACGAAAAGCTGTAGCTAATTATGCAGTGAACTTCTACGACAGCGTGGTGGCGCATTAGAACGTTTTGTTTTGTCTTAATCGTAGCCCAATTAACGACACGAGCGTATGTCAGACCGTGAGGCGCCTCAGCCGTTGCATTCGCTTAACGAGCTACGATGTTCATCTCTTTGTACCTCTCTCATCCTTTTTCATCGCCTCCGTGTGCGTGTACTAGACCTGACAAAACACGTGAATATTTTACATGGGTATATTGTGTTTAGCATACTCCGGTATTAGCGGTAACCCCAAAGGACGTCAATTAATAGGCATTCGTATTTGTGTATATAACATGTAATTGGATAGTATTGTTTACGAGTGTACATTAGTACAATTAAGTACATTTTGCATGTCCCTTATATCCAATTACCACTAATGTACATATTATATTAGGATCATGTCCTACGCTTTTATTGTCAGTCGCTGTGAACCATTAATCGTTGTAATGGTATTCTTTTTGGTTTAATCATTCAGGAACTAAAACATTGTACTCGCAGAATCGTATAAGAACGCAATAAAATAGTCTCGATGGACGTTTTAATATGGAAGTAATCGATTACTCGGTCCGATCTGAAACGCTTGTCATAATGTCTAATACACAATAGTAATATGTTACACTGTATCGTTTCGGTATTCGTTTTTCTATAACAATAATCAATCGTCGGCCAATAATATATTGTTTATTGCATTGTTTCCATTTTCATAATACTCCTTTTCTCGGTCTTCGAAAAACTAGGATTTAAAACCCTGTGTTATTACTCTAATATGTATGAAATATAATGTAATATATTCGAGAAAAAATATTTTTAATACGAACAAACAAACATTAGTATATACCAACTATTTTTTTCTATCTTAAGAAAATCACTTATTCAGATATCAATCTAGTCAATATATAAATTTATAAGCTGAAAATTTAAAAATTTAAAAATTTTATAGTTAAACAAAAAGTACTACTACTGTTAGAGGTCAAATTAATATATTTTTTTTTTTAGTCAACTCTTTTAGCATTAAAACTTTATTCTATTTTTTCGTTAAACGTTTTAACGTTACTACACTTTTTCATTTAACGTTAAAAAATTTGACACCGTAAAAAATAATACCCATTCGTCAATATGATATTAGTATACATGTTAATTTGACACATAAATTTTGACATAATATACCGAAAATTCGTACACAAATAAAATATTTTTATCACTATTTATCTTAACTTTCCCACAATTATATGCATTAAAAACTTTCAATACATTCATGTGAAAATTCAAACATTTTTTAAAAGTGTAATTCACTGCTAAGTAGTTTAAAAATAGACATGCAAATTTTTATCTAACAGAATTTTTTTTAAATTCAATATTTGAAAATAATTTATTTTTATTTTAATAGGAATTGTTTTACATTATAAATAGTATTGCGCTTAACAATTTTTTACGTCTATTTATATCACATATTTACATAGTTTCTAGTTTTTTGTTTTTTGATTACGTTTTAACAAAAAAATTTAAACATTATTATAACGGTACGTTTATAACATTTTCCTGTCTTGATTATTGTGACTTGTTAGTTTGTTAAAAAAAAAATAATATGATAGACTATGGATTTTTAATATTCCATAAAGAAACAAACAATAATTAGATTTAATCTCTTTTTCTACAAAAATTTATTTTGTGAAAGTTTTATATGCTTGTTATTTGCGGTATTCTAATTTGATTTCTGTAACAAGTAGATAATAAATACTTGGATATTTAACTTGGGAGGATCTATTGACGTAGTGCATAATATTTTTCAGCAGAAATTGTTGATAATTTTAACTTTAGAATATTTAATATTGAAAGTGTATTATTAGCATTCATATAAAATGTTTTCATATTTATTCTAATGGTGAAATATTAACATTTGTTTTGTTGCTCTGTAAATAATTATTTCAAATTCATTTTATTTTGCTGACTCCCAGACCATTTTTCAGATTTGTGAATTTGATTATTGCGATTTGTTATAATTGTTATACACTTTACTATTTAATAAAAAAAAGTACGAGACCCAGAACTTAGTCCCTGCTAACTTTTTTCAAAGACTGCTCTAGCTGTCACTAATAAACAAAAAATCATTGATTGTATTATTTAACCACTTTGATAACCAACGATGCGACCTTAAACGAGTCAAGTTTCATTAAACAACAGTAATAATAATTACTCTGTGGTTAATCCACAAATGGTGTGAAAAACAATTATGTGGCTGACTTTGTATACACTACGTTAACCGGATGCCACCCGAAACCGGAAACACATGCTGGGGTAACTTCTAACGACAATACTTTGTCACTTCCTTATTAAAATCAACTCAAAAACAATACCATAACTTTTTTATTTTATAAAATTGTTGATGCATCATTAAATAATAAATAACAATTATTTTTATTTTTACTTTTTTAGTGTCCAAAAGAAGATTTAATTTCAAAACTGACTATTTGCTTGGTAAGTAATCTTCCACTGTCGTTTTTTAAACAATTATTTCAATATAACTTTGTTATGAATATTTTTACCTTAACGTACATATAAGGAGATTCCTTAACTGTGTGTTATAGTAAAAATAGAACGTTGCTAAACACTACCATGCTCCCACCTTTTTTATTTCATTAAATGCTAATATATCCAAAAGTACTGTTACAATACTGATTAGTGACCAGTAAATATATTTTTTTGACTAATAATACACTTAACTATATAAAAATAATAGGTTTCTGTTAACTTTCCAAAGATACCCCTAAAATCTACCCATAGAAATAATTCATTCTTACTATAAACTTGATGTTTACTATGGTTCATAAAAATAAATCAAATTTTTATGAAAATATTGTTAGAATACGAAAAAATGAAGGATAGTATTCTTAATAAATCACAATATAAATAAAACTAAATAAAATTATGCAGCAAACATTCGAATCTGATACGATTTGGGCGATTTAATATTATTTAAATATAAGAAATCGCAGTAAGCTTTCTGTGAATGTAAAAGTATAACTGTTGTTTATCCACAGTGTGGCTAAAGCTCATTATCGATTTGCTTTTCTTCGTTTCTAGCAAATTATTTTGAAAAAAACGCTATTACGACAGATACACAAATTGTTTGAACTTAAATTACTTCATTAAATGTGCATTGTTCAAATAAAATAAATTTAGTATTTGATCTTAAAAGTTTAATGTCATTGTCAGATTAAACCATGGATAGATGTAAATTATGTGTTTGAATTAACCATATGTATATAACATATTAATACTAAACCGAGTAGACGGAGCACTCGAAATTTTCTATTCATAAATTTACGATATTGAAATACTTTAGTATTTTGGCGTTTAATTAACTCAGCGTATTGTCGGCAGAGCATTTTAAATATTTTTGCTTGCGATATTAATTTTGTATTACACTAATATCGAATTACTTTCGTGTTACAATTGTCTCTACAGTAACTACTATAATCGTACACTTGACAGACACGCTTTTAGATAGTGAGCAGCAATTGATCGGCTTTTCAAATATCAGTACGCGTGAATGGTACTCTGACGGCAAATTGACGTCTTTGTTCTTTTTATATCATTTTTAACGCATAATGTAGATATTTGATGTGTAAAGAGCGTTTTAAATGCTTCTTGGAGATTGATCATATTTCGATGTCCGAGAAATATTTAACGAATATTTTTTCCGGGAATTTTCGCATCCTCGTTGTTATTTTTTTAGATTTCTGAAATCTGTTCAGAGTAAATTGTTAGCTATTTCTTCGAAATAAAATATCACTTTGAATAATAATCTAAAGTATACCTGTAGTTATTATGGAAATGTGTGCGCCGTGGAAATTTTAAACTATGTCAGATTTTTTTCGGTAATCTCAAGTCATTTTTTTCACTTCACTGTTCATCATTGTACATATTGTGCTTACTAATACCTCAATATCGACATCAAATAAAACGCTTCATCAGCACAAAACCTTCAACAAATTGGTGCGGTATAATCCAATATTTTATTCCGAACACTAGTAATGTTTACCATTCAACTAATGTTTATTTAAACGCATTTGTTAGCATTGTACGTCGTTACAGTTATTTTCTTTCGAGTAATTTATGAATTTCTACTACGAAAATTAACGTTATAAGTGTCAAATGTTACAAATGTTTTTATTTAGTTCTTGTTTAATTACAAGTAAGTTTAGCTGAGTGAAACGTAATTTGGAAAATTCGGTTGTTTAATTGTCAGTGAAATGGGCTGGGGGTTCAGAGTTTCAAAAATAATCACACATGAAACAGTAATGACATTCAAAAAGCTCGACGAGCGAACGGCCGGGAGTCTTAAAACATTGCGTTTAATCAAAGTAGAAGGAAGGAACTGAACGGTCTCGCAAAACAAAATGACGTCGTTAGTCGAAAAATTAATTAAGAAATTTATTAGAAAACTTATTATCTGCGCTGTGTAACCGTCTACTTAATGGAATGAAAAATTACTACAACAACGACAACTGGGTCGATTCAAAATTAAAACATAAATAATTTAAGATTTTTGAACAGCATAGTGTTCTGTTTCATTTAGATATTGATTTTACTTTTTTCGTTATACATTATGAACTTAAATTATTTTTATTCGTTCGTTCTCATTTACTTTTATAACCACGTGTACCACCAAATAGCGGAGGCCTTTAAACAAAATAGTTAATAATTATTGTGTTTAATGATTATCGCTCTTGCCTTTCAAATTTAATTCTTTAAACCTCTTCTTGGAAAATTAATACCGAGTGCTTTTATGTTCAAATGGATTCGAGAAAACAATTATTGTACATAGTAAATTATCCACTTAGTAATTGTGTAGTCTAATTAACATGATTTAGATAGGTTGTATTTTTAACTGTGTATAACCTGGACACCAGAGTTTAAATGTGACTTATTTCGTGTATTTTTTCTGATATTTTTAATCGATATAAATTCATTAATCATATGGTTATGAGATATTTTACCGAGTAAAATTTCTCTAGTTGGAAAAATTTGTATACTTTATTAACCACAAAAAAACTATGAAAAATATGTTTTTATATATATTTTTAACTACTACGAATAAAAAAAATGACCTCGCTTTTTTAATACCTATTTTAATAGAACGTCAAGTTCTATAAATCTAAATAATTCTTGGAAAAGGGAAAGCAGAAAAACCAAAACAACTCTGTAGAAAGAAATCAGACCTCAGCACTTGCACATCAAGACTAGTACATATATATGTACACAAATTACCAAAACGGTTTTTTTAGACACTTTTATGTGAATTACGCTTATGTCATAAAACTGTAGGTTTTCGTACAAAACGTCACAGTTACGGAATTAAAATGTGAAAACCAATTATCCTCCCTCCTCTATTAATGTAATGTATCTGTGTAAATACATATGTTAATATACAGAATGTTCACTAAGTAAGATAACAAGTAAATTGTTACAAACAACGAGAACAATAGAAACCCGTCTACTTGCTTACTGAACATTCTATATATGATAATAGGCCTGGAGAAACAGGAAACGCATTGAAAGTTCTGTAAAAGAGATACACGCATGCGATTATTCGTTTAATTATTAAAATTAATATATAATGTGATTAATTTATTTTCATATACACAGGCTGGCACAAACAATAAGTGAATTTTACTAAAAAGTTTCTTTGATTAATTAAAACTATCATAATAGTGTCATTTTCTTGCGTTTAAGTCAATCACTTCTGATTTTAATTAAATTGTTCCTGTATAATTGATACGTACACACGAATTTTATACCAACATTTTATGATATTAAAAATTATATAACTTGCATCCATTTTTATTTGAATACAAATGTTTAGTGAGGCCCGTGTTAAGAGTGGGGGGAAACACCTCGGGGCCCTATGAACTTAAAGGGCTCATCACAAAGTTTACTAGCCTGTCATGATTAGCAAAATACAGTATTTATAGTTTATTTTTTGTTCATCACTCTTTTATGGTTGTGATGTATTCCACGGGGAGGCCCATCTCAAAGTCCCGATTTGGATATATAGGTCTTAATCCGACCCTGTGTTTCGTAAATACTGCAGATTTATTTTCATTGGCCAAGTATATACAGGAACATTTTCATGATAAATATCTTCTTCTCTGATTACGTTGGTTACATTAGTTAATTAACCACTAGGTAATCTTTACTTTCAAGGTGATTGCTGTAAACAATACACGAAAGGTTTTAAAGATATATACTTTATTTAAAGATATATCTTTATATTTAAAATTTTATTTAAAGATATATCTTTTCCTATAACCTTAATTAGAAAACGCAGCTGAAGAGTAACACATATCAATATATGAAATGAAAGTACTACAATAGTTTTTTTTTTTTGATTCTTTATGCATGTTATAAACTAACAAGCATAAAGAAATTAAACAAAAGTCGTAAATATATATTTTTTTAATAACAAAAAAAAAATTTTATGTATACAACCTTTAGTTATTATAGTTATAATAGTTATTATAGTTATAATAGGGATATAATTTATATATACTAAAATAAAAAACAATTTTCAACTACAGACAGTTTATCAATCAAATTTTAAATGTTTATATTCACTATACTTACGTTAACATTTGAATTCATGGTTAACATAATTTTAGTAGTTCAACCTAATTTTAGGTTCACATAATTTTTTTAATTTCTTTTATGATAATGAAAATAAATTAAGATAAATGTGGAACTTTACGGTTTATAAATTAAGTATAGAAGTATCAACGATAGTATAGACATTACTGTAATCATTAAGTGTAATATACATTGTGTATATATCATTATAAAAACAAATATATGTCTGTATATTAGGGTACAGAGAGTAAAGATTGTTAACGAAATGTAGTATTATAATCATTCGGTGCTTCAATTAAACATAATTGCATTCTACCTTTCTTACCATAGAACATGAGGAAAGCCTCACCAGTAAGTTTACACAAAAAAAATGAATGTTTTATATTACTTTATTTTTACATTAAGTCAACAAGCGTTTTAAGATTAATTTTTATTACGTAACTTTATCTAATCCGATTGTAATTAAATGAATACCCATTTTTAATAAGATATTTACTTTAAACATGAACAACAAATTGATTTGTTAGCTAAACATATTCTACGTATTTGTACACTATGACATTAAAGATGCAACTTTAATAATTAATTAGCGTTTCCAACTTTTTTAGTTGAATTTTTAATAAAATCTGGGTAGGTCTTTGTTTTAATTTTACGCACAAAGTACTCCAAAGTATAATTAAATGGGGTTTGGTTATCTTGTCTTTTTTGTCTCCTTATCATCGCTCTCTTCTATTGTCTGTTTAGTACATTGTTGTCATCAAGCCGGATCCTTGTAATTTAATTACATAAAACATTTAAATTTACATTTTTTATCTGTACGGCATAACAACGATATGGTGATAATTAAT